GCAGATTATGGAAAGGTGCAATAAGAACAGAGTTGCCACAGTGGGTGACTTTAACTTCCCCGGTATTGACTGAGACTCCCTTACAACTACAGACTTAGATGGGACGGAATTTGTTAAGTTCATCCAAGAAGGTTTCTTGAAACAGTATCTGGATAATCCAATAGAGGAGGCGCCATACTGGACCTTGTATTGACTGATGAATCTGGCCAGGTGATTGACCTTTCAGTGGGAGAGCATTTTGGTAATAATGATCACAACTCCTTAAGTTTTAAGATAGTTAAGAACAAGGATAAGTCAGGATCTTGCGGGAGAGGGCAAATTATGTCTGTATTGGGCAGAAGCTAGGGAGTTGGGAATTGGGAGGAGTGGTTATCAGGCAAGTCCATATTTGATATATAGGAATTGTTTAAAGACCAGCTGGGGAGAGTTTGAGACCTGCATGTTCTAGTAAGGAGGAAGGATAAGGATGGCAAGGTAAGGGACCCTTAGAATACAAGGGAGGTTGCAAATTTATCAAAAGGCAAAAAGAAGCATTGGTAAGGTTTAGAAAGCTAAAATCAGACAGTACCCATGAGGAATATAAGGAAAGCAGGAAAGTACTCAAGCAGGGAATCAGTAGAGCAAGACGGAGCCATGAAATGCCCTTGGCAAGCAGTGTTGAAGAGAATCCCAAGGCATTCTATACATACTTTAAAAACAAGAGGATAACTGGGGAGAAGGTAGGACCACTCAAAGGTAAAGGAGGGAACTTGTGCTTGGAGGCAGAATATGTAGGTGAAATCCTAAATGAGTACATTGCATCAGTATCCACCCTGGAAAAGGATATGGAGGCTAGTGAGATTTGTGTGAAGCATGCTAATATTCTAGGCCATTTTGAGATCAAGAAAGCAGTGGTGTTGGATCTCTTGAAAAGCATTGAGGAGGATAAGGGACCCAGGGCCCGATGGTATCTACCACAGGTTATTGAGAGAGACAAGAGAGGAGATTGCTGGGGCCTCGACCAAGATCTTTGTATTCTCACTAGCCACTGGAGAGGTCCCGGAGAAGTGGAGAGTAGTGAATGGTGTTCCTCTGTTCAAGAATGGAAATAGGGATAATTCAGGAAACTACAGACCAGTGAGTCTCACATCGGTGGTTGGGAAGCTATTGGAGAGAATAATTAGGGATAGGATTTATGCACATTTGGAAATGCATGGGCTAATTAGGGACAAACAGCATGGCTTTGTGCAGGGCAGGTCATGCTTTACTAACTTGATTGAAATTTGAGGAAGTGACAAAGGTGATCGATGAGGGTAGAACAGTGAACGTTGTTTACATGGATTTTAGCAAAACTTTCGACAAGGTCCCTCATGGTAGGCTCATCCAGAAGATGCATGGGATCCACGGTGACATGGCCATGTGAATTCAGAATGGCTTGCCTATAGAAGACAGAGTGTATTGGTGAAAGGGTGTTTTTCAGGCTGGAGGTCCATAACTACTGCTGTTTCTCAGGGATGTCTAATACTAGGGGCATGCATTTAAGGTTAGAGGGGGGAAAGGAGATTCAAAGGAGATGTGAGGGGCAAGTGTTTTACACAGGGAGTGGATGGAGTCTGGAACGCACTGCCAGGGGTGCTGGTGGAGGCAGATTCACTGGGACCTCTGCTGTTTGTGATGTATATAATTGACTTGGATGTTAATGTAGAGGGTGGATTAGTAAGTTTGCAGATGATACAAAGATCGGTGGAGTTGTGGATAGTGTAGAAGTTTGTCAAAGGATACAGCTGGATATAGATCAGTTGCAGACATGGGCGAGAAATGGCAGATCGAGTTTAATCCAGTTAAGTGTGAGGTGCTGTACTTTGAGAGATCAAATGTTAAGGAAAAGTATACAGTTAATGGCAGGACTCTGAACAGCCATTAATGTACAGAAGGATCTTGGGGTTCAAGTCCATAGCTTCCTGAAAGTAGTCACGCAAGTAGATATGGTAGTAAAGAAGGTGTACGGCATGCTTGCCTTTATTGGTCGGGGAATTGAGTACAAGAGTCAGGATGTCATGCTGCAGCTTTATATAAGACTTTGGTTAGGCCACACATAGAGTATTGCATTGAATTCTGGTTGCCACATTACAGGAAGGATGTAGAGGTTTTAGAGAGGGTGCAGAAGAGGTTTACCAGGATGCTGCCTGGATTAAAAGCTATAAGAACTTGGGTTGTTTTCTCTTGCGCGGCACAGGCTAAGGGAAGATTTGATAGAAGCCTGTAAAATTATGAGATGTATAGATAGGTTTGATGGTCAGATTCTTTTGCCCAGAGTTGAAATGTCTAATACTTTAAGGTTAGAGGAGGGAAAGGAGATTCAAAGGAGATGTGAGGGGAAGAGATAGTAGGAACTGCCGATGCTGGAGATAACAAGGTGTAGAGCTGGATGATCACAGCAGGCCAAGAAGCATCAGAGGGGCAGGAAAGCTGACATTTCGGGTTGAGACCCTTCTAGCAGGCCAAGCAGCATCAGAGGAGCAGGAAAGCTGACGTTTCAGGTCTCGATCCGAGATGTGAAGGGCAAGTATTTTACACAGAGAGTGGATGGAGTATGGAACGCACTGCCAGGTGTGGTGGTGGAGGCCAATACAATAGAGGCATTTAAGGAACTTTTAGATAAGCACATAAATATGGAAGGAATGGAGGGAGAAGGGATTAGTTTCATTTGGCATCATGTCCAGCAAAACATCTTGGGCTGAAAGGCCCATTCCTATGCTGTATAGTTCTATGTTCTATGTTTTAACTTACTACAGTGATTTTTTTATAAATTAAACATTTTCTTGTTTAAAACTAAAGCTTTACTGCTGGTTATTTTAAAATTGAAACCTCACAAATTAAAAGGAAATCATGCACGCTTAGCTTACAAACTATTCATTCTCTCTCACACAAAATTTGTAGACTGCTTTGAGAAAATGTTTTACCTAAATCTCTTTACACAGTCTCCTTACATCCTCAATGGGCATTTCAGACTTGGTACCTCTTGGGAATGGTCTCTGTTGCTGAAAGTGGTACCTTCATCAATAATAGACAAATCAGGCTTGAAGTCCAGTTTCCTGCGTTCTTAATGCTAGCTTCTATTGATACATTTAACAATAGGATGAAGCCCTAATTTATGCATCATCTAATTTCTACAATAAGGTTTTAATATGAAGTCCATTGAGATCAATGTAAAAGATCCCTTGCACTATTTGAAGAAGAGCAAGGATTTCCTGGTAAACTCGCCAAGAATGCTTCCCAACTACCACCATCAAAATTACTGAACTTATCATTATTTTGATTTGCTGTTTATGGAATCCTATTTTACACAAGTTTATGATGCAGCAATGATTCAATTTCAAAATAACCAATTAGTTGTGAAGGACTCTAAAGTTGTGAGGGAACCTGAAATTGAGATTTAGATGTATATTCTTTCTTAGGCCACAAAATAGTTTAAAAAAAAAGGTCTGACGGAAGACATTCCTCTTCATCTCAGTTCTAAAGGCTTATCCCTTTACTCTGAGTCTGCGCCCTTGGCCTTAGTCTCTACTACTGGTGGAAAAATCTTGTCCACGTCCATTCTATCCAGGCCTCTCGGTATTCTGTAAGTTTCAAACAGATTCCCACTCATCCTTCTAGATTCCATCGTGTACAGACCCAGAATCTTCAACTGCTCCTCAGATGGCAAGCCCCTCATCCCCAGGATCATTCTTGCCAATCTCCTCTGGACTCCCTCCAATGCCAGCACATTTTTCCTTAGATGCGGGGTCCAAACTTGCTCGCAATATTCCAAATACAGTCTGACCAGAGCCTTATACAGCTTCAGCAGTACATTTCTGCTCTTGTGTTCTAGCCTTCTCAAAACGAATGCTAACATTGCATTTATCTTCCTAACTGCCAACTGAACCTTCATGCTAACCTTAAGAGAAACCCGAACTAGGACTCCGAAGTCCCTTTTGCTTCAGATTTCTGAAGACTTCCCTGTTTCGAAGTAGTCTATGCCAGTATTCTTCCTGCTAAAGTGCTTAACCTCACACTTTCCCACATTATATTCCATCTGCCACTTGTTTGCCCACTCTCCTGGACTGTCCTAGTCCTTCTGCAGCTTCCCCACTTCCTCAACACTACCTGTCCTCCACTTATCTTTGTATCATCTGCAAATTTAGCAACAATGCCCTCAGCTTCTTCATCCAAATCATTAATTTATAAAATGAATAATTGAGTCCCAGCACAGACCCCCGTGGAACTCCACTAGTCACCAGGTGCTATCCTGAAAGAGACCATTTTATCCCTACTCTCTGCCTTCTGTCAGTTAGCTAATCTTCTATCCGTGCCACTACCTTGCCCCTAACAGCATGGGCTCTTATCTTATTTAGCAGCTTCCTATGCGGCACATTGTCAAAGGCCTTCTAGAAATCTAAATCCAAATATATAACGTCTACTGGCTCTCCTTTGTCCAACTTGCTTGTTGCCTCCTCAAAGAATTCTAACAGCAAATAAGAGGAAGCAGCAATGGGAAATGGTGAGCAGGAGGATTGACTAGTGAAGGGATAGGTAAGGACTGCACAGGGAAATAGGCAGCAAGAAGGTATAACAGAAACTCACTAAGTAGGAATATTGCAGTGAGAGGTAGCAAGCAGCAGGGATGGAGAGAGGAAAGGGAAGCAGGAAACAAGAAAGGCATGAGCAGGAGTATCAGCAACAAGTATCAAGCAGGAGATTTAGTACTGAAAGTTAAGGTTTATTAGATTATTCAGAGAGTTAGTATAATTTGTCCAGTTAGTTTCAGGATAGGAAATAGGTTTTTAAAGTTAGAACTACAGGTCAGAAATGTAACCCATCCTTGTCACATGCTTTCTAAGACAACAGTGATTTTCATTTAGCATACTTACTTTTTACGAACATGTGAGGAATGTTTAGTGATGGAAAGCCATATTGCATCCAATGCATTCATCAGTATGAAGGTCATTTTACAATATCAAAGATAACTTTATGTTAAATACCTCTTTTTGATTCGGTAAAATATCATCAATGATTCTGTACTCCAAATGCAGTTTTTCTTCTAGTTGATCTTCAAGATTCCTGATTAAGTTTATTTCTTCCTGTAATTTCTTGTTAAATGCATCTGCATCAGCAACCCGATCTTGTAGATTTTTTAAATTATATGTTTTGACCTCAATATGCCACTGCAATTCATCTATATCATGTGAGCATATGTCATACTCTGTAAGAAAAGTAAGTACAATTTAAATAAAAAGAAGAAAAATGTTGATATTGTACAGCAGACTGATTAGATTCTGAAATGAGAATTTTTGAGCTTTAATTATAATTCACATATCTAGTTAAAGAAGTCCATTTTATTGCATTGACAAGGGCAAGTCAAGATATATCCAGGACAAAGAAGGAGTGAATGAAGATTGCTTAACCACTTTTCAATAGCATATTGAAAAAAAAAATACTGCTAACAGACATTTTATACATTGAACCAGGAAGGGAGATCATTAAATTCATTTTAGATATTTATGTAGAATCTAAAAGACAGTGGTGAGAAAGACAGAAAGGACTGATTAGTAACGTTAGATCACATTGGGTCTGGGGGAGCTAGCCAATTGGACACAAAATTGGCTGGAAGGTAGGAGGCAGAGGGTAGCGGTGGAAGGTTTTTTCTGGACTGGAGGCCTGTGATCAGTGGTGTGCCACAAGGATCAAGAATCAGTATTGGGTCCACTCTTTGTCATCACTAACATAAATGGTTTGGATGCAAATATAAGAGGTGTGGTTAGTAAGTTTGCAGATGACACCAAAATTGGCGGTGTAGTGAACAGTAAAGAAGATTATCTCAGAGTACAATAGGACCTTGATCAGGTGGGCCAATGGGCCGAGTAGTGGCAGATGGAGTTTAATTTAGATAAATATAAGGTGTTGCATTTGGGTAAGGCAAATCAGGACAAGACTTATACAGTTCATGGTAATGTCCTGGGGAGCGCTGCAGAACAAAGAGACCTAGGGATGCATGCTTACAGTTCCTTGAAAGTGGAGTCACAGGCAGACAGGGTGGTGATGGCGGTGTTTGGCATGCTTGCCTTCATTGGCTTTAACATTGAGCATAGGAGCTGGGAGGTCACGTTGTGGTTGTACAGGTCATACTTTTGGAATATTGCATACAATTCTAGTTGCCCTTCGATAGGAAGTATGCTGTTAAACTTGAGAGTGTGCAGAAAAGATTTACAAGGATGTTGCTGGGATTGGAGGGTTTGAACTACAGGGAGATGCTGAATTGGCTGGGGCTATCTTCCCTGGAGTGTCTGAGGGGTGATCTTATAGAGGTTTATAAAATCACGAGGGGCATGGATAGGGTAATAGCCAAGGTCTTTTTCCTAGGGAGGGAGAAGTCCAAGACTAGAGGGCAAAGGTATAAGGTGAGAGGAGAAAGATTTAAAAAGCACCCGAGGGGTAACATTTTCATGTAGAAGGCAGTGTGTGTGTATGGAATGATCTGCCAGAGGAAGTAATGGATGTGGGTACAATTGCAACATTTAAAAGTTACCTTGATGGGTACATGAATAGGAAGGGTTTAGAGGGATTTAGGCCAAATGCTGGCAATTGGGACTAGATCAGGTTGGAATGTCTGGTCGGCGCAGATGGGTTAGAGCAAAGGGATTGTTTCTGTGCTATATGACTCTATGTGGGTCAAAGGGCATCAAATGGATAAAAATCAGCGGTATGTGTATGAAACTACTTAGAAAATCTCAGAACAACAGAACATAGCTAAGGTCTGAAGTTGTTGTAAATTAATTGGTGCTATTTTTGATCAATATCTCCTGTCATTTGAGCATATTTGTATCACAAATCACATCTGGAAACTCTTACAGATTTCTAGACCAAGATGTATTCACATCATATTGGAAGACATTAACACAAAGAGTGAACATCTGCTGGAAGTACATACTATAGGCAGATAATGTTGTCAACATTGATTTGACTTCAACACTGCCATTTTGGAACTCAGTGCTTCAGCTAACACTTATAAAATCATTCATAGCTGAATAAGGATTCAACAGCCAAAAGAATCCATATCAATTGTATTTAAAGAGATCATCAATTATTTACAGATTAGTTGCAGGTTGATTTTTCTCTGATCATTACATCAACCTTTGAAGTGAATGGTACTTTTTATATATAGTTGTTTCAATTTGCAAAATATTTCTCCAAAGACTTGAGGGCACAAGCAGGTACACCCCTTCAAACACTGCATGATTTTGAGAATGAGCAGAGGCCAAGGCATGCAGAGCTGGATGGGTTGTTAGCAAAGGAAGAGGAAATGAGATAAACTCTCAGCATATCTGCTCAGCAGTTGGCAATTATGCTATTTGAAGTTTAGTAAGGAATAGTGTATCAGACATCCCTGGCATGAATAGGGTAGTCTCATCAAAATCAACCACCTTCTGCAGGCACAGCTGCAACCTCAGAGCAAGGAAAAGATCACAGGTGGTCATGGGAATGAACCTTCATATGTTTGGTTCCTTCAGGTGGGGCATGGAGAAATTTGCCACATCTTGCAGGTACTTGGACATTATAGCATGGGAAGGTTATAGATATTTGCTCTTCACCATAGCTAACTACATTTCATTCTCTCTTGCAACGGAGGTGACCCGAGTATGTAATTTCACTAGGGCTGCAGGATGACTTAAGTTGCACGCCCATCACTTTGTAAATGACAACTGTGTCCTATACTATAACTGAAAGGAATTCCACTAGCTTGTGTTTGCCCAGTATGTGACCATATGCAAAGAGTTGTGCAGATCAATCCAGGTACCCTGGGCGGAGTTATAAAGCCTTTATCCCACAGAAATCCACTGTAACAGATACATTTGAACCATCATAACAATCTAAAGCAATCTAAAAGTGTTACTAGTTAACAACTCTACCATACAACCCTAACACAATGAATGTGATGGAACAATTAAAATTATACTCTGAAGGAGGTAATGTAGTGCTTTTACTATAAGTATAATATCAGAATTCGTCATGGTCTGTGGCATGTTTTGTCTTGTCTCCTTTGTCTCACATTACTTGCTCTAATACATCTGACATAGTACGGAGAATATTAAACCATGACATTATGATCCTAGTTGATGGTAATACTGGACAAGATTTATTTCAAAATGAAAACTAAATCAGTAAACAATAAACTTTATTTTTGCTGTTGGGGCGATACCAGTAGGCACCCAAAGAGAGAAAGATCCACACAGTCCTCCAGAAGCTATCTTTCAGGACACTTCAGAAATATCCGGCAACTCGCCTTTAATGCCAAGCCTGTAGAAGTCCAGCCTGAGGAGGGTGAGCCTGTATCTAGGCCAGACACTCTCAATGAATCTGGATCCTCTAGACCCAAACATCCTCAGGGATGAACAGCCAAGTCTTCCAGGCTAACAGAGTCAACTATAAAGCAGGCTGTCTCTACCAGAGTTGCAGATGTTGGACTGCATCTGTATGCAGTGGCAGGGAAAGGAAGAAAACTTACTGAGAGCACATAGATGACACTTCATTGTAAATAATCCCCAAGTTTTGCAAATATATGCTCACTTAAACTCTTGAAAAATGTTCTCTAGTCTCTTTGCTGTCTGCCTTGGTGAAACTGCATTCATTTGACATAGGAACAGCATCTTCAGACATTCCAAGGATGAAAGAAGTTGTCATAGAGAAATGTTGCTCGCCTCTGATTAACAACAAATTCATTACATTCAGAGAGCCTCGGACATCAGAGCTCCTTGAACTGTGGCATTGATAACTGCAGCATTGCACTTTCATGTGGACAACGCTTTGTGCAGGGATTGTGATGGGGCCTGCACTGCATAGCACATCCACACTTACACCCATCCTATGAGTGACAGAACAGAATCAGTGCCAATACCACACATCTCCACAAGCAATACTGCATTTTAGCTTTCAGCTTTTCAAGGGAGTGCAAAGACATTCATGGTTGGGTGGTGTACAATAGGAAGTTTGCATTTCCACTCTCCCTCACGTTACTTGTAACTCACATAACAATGCTGAAAGAAGCTGCGCAAAGCAATGCACCTCTCAAGTTAAACACTGTCCCACAGGATCTTCAAGTAAACTATGCGAACTCTGAAATACTGGAGGACAACTGATGATGGAAGGCTGTAAAGACAGTTCTTCACAATTGCTCTCAATTTGCTGTATATCATAAGGATTGTACAACACAGCACTTGGATTCCAGATGCTGGCCTAAGCCTTAAAAATCATTTTACCCCACCACTGTGCCATGTTACTGCCTGTTGCTATCTCCCAAATGGTAACAAGCACCTGTGAACTGCAGGCACTTTAAGGTGGGATCAGCTGAGGATACCACACTTACAATCATCTGGATAACAAAGCATTTATTCATCAACAGAAAAGTTTAAGCATTCCAGAAACAAGCAAATCTGGTATTGTAAGCATGTATTCCAAACTGAGCAAGGGCTTATTATTTCATACTCTGTTAGTTATATGTCAATGAAAGGAAAACTAAACTCTTGTTTATTCTTCCAGAAAGCAGCTTTCAATGATTTCTGTCTGGCCTCTCAAGCTCAGTCTTGCTTTGGTTCATAGTGTTCTCTTGGATGTAGCTCCAGGTCAAAGTAGAAATCTGCATCCTCAGAGGTTTGATTCTCACTTTGACTGCATCCAGGGCATCTCCTCTACTCCCTGGGGGATCTTCAGCTCCTGGTTCTCCCTCATGAGACTGAAGCCTGTCACTAGAGGTTCCTGTTGTTGACAGGCTTGTTCACGACAGTCGGATCAATGTCCTATTCGACACTATCTGATTTCCAACATGGCGGCCACGAATCCTCAGAGTGCTAGTTCCACCTTATACGATTGATCAGATAATCTGCAGGGAATGTCAGAAGTAGAAACGCCTATCAGCAATGGTATTCCTGATACCTCACATCAATCACAATGGTTATGGTCTCATACGTTGTGGCATGGAGGCTTTGCCTTCATAAGGAGGTCAATGCCATGCCTCCATAAGGAGCTTTAAGCTATGTAACCTCATGCAGATAGCATGTGCAGAAGCAAAATGCAAATTCTACATGGAGTTAAACACAAGCATTTCACCATGGTAGCACCCACTCCAAAAAAAGCCACCTTATACCATCACAAACTATGTCATCACATACTCATAGTTAGGCGTGAGATAGCTGCAACTCTGAAACATTG